TTCACCCCCCCACCCCTTCACCCCCCCCACCCCTTCACCCCCCCACCCTTCTCCCCCCCCACCCTTCTCCCCCCCCACCCTTCTCCCCCCCCCACCCTTCTCCCCCCCCCACCCTTCTCCCCCCCCACCCTTCTCCCCCCCCCACCCTTCTCCCCCCCCACCCTTCTCCCCCCCACCCTTCTCCCCCCCCACCCTTCTCCCCCCCACCCTTTTCCCCCCCCCACCCTTCTCCCCCCCCACCCTTCTCCCCCCCACCCTTCTCCCCCCCCACCCTTCTCCCCCCCCACCCTTCTCCGCCCCACCCCCCACCCTTCTCCCCCCCACCCTTCTCCCCCCTCCCTTCCCCCCCTCCATTCTCCCCCCCACCCTTCACCCCCCCACCCTTCACCCCCCCTCCCTTCACCCTTCACCCCCCTCCCTTCTCCCCCTCCCTCCTACTCCACCCCCTCTCCAATCCACCGCTTTTCCCCCTCCTCCACCACCATAGTACTGTACTGAAGAAGCTTGATTCCATCTATCACTCGGCCTTAAGATTTACATTGAACTGCCCATATAGGACTCACCACTGTGATCTCTACATTGGGTCAAACCTAACATCTCGTAATGTTCGACGGCTTGTGCACCAGATCTTATTTATTCATGATGCAAAAAATTCCGCAGACTACCTGCTGGATCTCCTCTCTGTGTCAAAGAACAAATTTGACCTCAGGTCTTCGCTCATCTACCAGCTTCACATTCCCTATTGCCGTACAAAAACTGGACGAAGGGCCTTTGCTATTGATGCCCCCATAGTCTGGAATGCTATTGCCAATAAACTGCAACTTGAATCACTGCCTATGCGATCTTCACTCAAAACTGCTCTAGAGGAGTTGTACACCCCTAGCTGCCACTGCTATTCAGTGGCCTAAAATAAAATAAAATGTTTCGCTCCGGATGACGCTGCGAAGTATTATCTGTATTTTGATTTAGTGTGCTGATCTTAAAGGTGCATTGAAAAATGTGATACTCCGACTGATGCTCCTGTTGTTTTGTGGTGTAACTCATGCAGCCAGCTGTGGCTCTAGGGTTTGGTGTTACATGTTATTATTTATGTAGTTTATTGTTTAAAATTCGGTCACAGTTCCTATGATCACTGTTACATTGCATTTATGGCTTTGTTTTGGTGATTTCTAAAACGTTCTTTGGTTTGGACATGTTTGTTTATTGTAGTACGGAGTTAGACTGATGGCCTTAATCTAAGTTTTCTTGTTGTTATTTGACTTGCATCCCATTGGGATTTTTGCACACAGCGTTGGTGTACGGTGCTATTTCAGGAATATTTTGATGTTTTTTTTCCTGGATTTTCTGTTTGCACAGTCTCATAGTCTCTTGAAGATGTTTTCTTGTTCACGTTTTTGTTTTTTTGTTTGTTGCGGGTGCACCCGATTAAAGAGCCGAATGGCTCACAGGGCTATACCAAATACATGAACTATGAACTATGAAATGTAACCCCTTAGCCCCTCCACCCCCCTCCCCTCCTCCACCACGCCAGTCAGAGCTGCGGCGGTGACGTTGTCCACGCTGCCCGGCTGCGTTTCAATGAACACGCGGGCGGCGGTGGTGATGGGGGGAGGATAGCGGTGGGGGGGTGCTGGGGGGTGCTGGGGGTGGGGGGTGCTGGGGGTGGTGGTGGGGGTGGTGGAGTGGGGGGGTGCTGGGGGGTGGGGGTGATGTTGGGGGTGGGTGCTGGGGGTGGGTTCTGAGAGGGATGTTGGGGTTGGGGGGTGCTGGGGGTGGGGGGGGGTGCTGGGGGTGGGGGTGATGTTGGGGGTGGGGGGTGCTGGGGGTGGGGGGGTGCTGGGGGTGGGGGTGATGTTGGGGGTGGGGGGTGCTGGGGGTGGGGGGGTGCTGGGGGTGGTGGGGGGGTGCTGGGGGTGGGGGGTGCTGGGGGTGGGGGGGATGTTGGGGGTGGGGGGGTGCTGGGGGTGGTGGGGGGGTGCTGGGTGCTGGGGGTGGTGGGGGTAGGGGGTGGGGGCTGTTTCCCGACGCAAGATGGCCGCCTGTGGTCGCCAGGCGTCGCCGCCGCCGCTCTGTCGACGCCCTCCGGCGGAGCGAGGCGAGTCGCTGACGAAGCAGGCGACAGACAGCTCGCAACGGTGCTGCCAACACCAACACCGCCAACACCACCACCACCAACACCGCCAACACCAACACCGCCAACACCAACACCGCCAACACCACCACCACCAACACCACCAACACCACCACCACGCCGGCTGTAAACACCAACACCAACACCACCAACACCAACACCACCACCACCACGCCGGCTGTCAACACCAACACCACCACCACCACCACGCCGGCTGTCAACACCAACACCACCACCAACACCACCACGCCGGCTGTCAACACCAACACCACCACCAACACCACCACCACCAACACCACCACCACCACGCCGGCTGTCAACACCAACACCACCACCAACACCACCACGCCGGCTGTCAACACCAACACCACCACGCCGGCTGTCAACACCAACACCACCACCACCACCACGCCGGCTGTCAACACCAACACCACCACCACCACCACGCCGGCTGTCAACACCAACACCACCACCAACACCACCACGCCGGCTGTCAACACCAACACCACCACGCCGGCTGTCAACACCAACACCACCACCAACACCACCACCACCACGCCGGCTGTCAACACCAACACCACCACCAACACCACCACCACCACGCCGGCTGTCAACACCAACACCACCAACACCACCACGCCGGCTGTAAACACCAACACCACCACCAACACCACCACGCCGGCTGTCAACACCAACACCACCACCACGCCGGCTGTCAACACCACCACCACCACCAACACCGCCACCAACACCACCACGCCGGCTGTCGCCACCAGTGGCACCACCACCAGTGGCAGCAGCAGCATCGTCCACAGCTGTCAAGCCGCTGGGGTCACCCCGTGTTCTTGTACAGGGGAATTGAGTTATCGGGTCCACAGCCGTTTGAATACGGGCAGAAACATTTTTATTTTGTCGATTTGTTTGCGTTTCTCCCTTGTGTCAGGTGAACGTTAATATTCATGTGCTGGACTAGTAATAACTAATTGGCACGTTTTGTTAACGTGACAAACTTTACGTGGTTTGTGTGGAAATTGTGTTTATTTGGCCAACTGCGTACACACGACGAGGTAAAGTCGAGCGCTCCGCGTGGAACTTCCTCCATGATTTTAAAGTGCACAGCTTCCGACTGGCTTCCCGTAATATCGAGTCTCGTAGGACCAAACCCCACAACAAGTGGCTACACGCATCTCTGCAGCGGTGCCCATTGCAGACCGGAATGTTGTTCACGGTTGAGCGAACTCCGTTGCCGGCACGATGGCTGTGATGTGTTCTGGACGTGAATGCCAAATGCCTGCTGCTGCTGCGTCGTTTCGCGATTTCCAACGCCATGGAAGGAGCACAGGATCCAGTCGTTCACGCGATGTTCCAGGTCACCCACACTCCAAGTTGCTGCTGCTGCTGCTGGGCCGTGGTGGCAACTCGCACGGCCAGGAAGCGACTCGGAATCCGTGTTCGTGCTGCAGGAGGAATCCGATGAGCTATAAAGCTCTTTCGCGGGTGTCCAGTGGGGGCACGGGGTCAGAACGTTACTACAAACACGATGCCCAAACACGATCGCAGTGCAACATGGGAAAGGTGTAAAAAAATCACTTAAAAACATTAAAGTTTCATTTAACCTGGTAAAGCCCACAGAGCGGTTAGCTTTTTTAGAAGCGACCTGGCCATGATAGCCCAACGAAGTGGCTCATCATCACCACCACCACGTGGCGACGTAGTGGCGTCGAGATGCAATCACCGTGGCTCGCCAAAGACAGCCAACAAAAAATGTGTACTCGAGTTCCGTCTGAATGGGATCGTATTGCCACACAAGCATTCGACGTGTACACATTAATTGGCGGATTTATACTGGTAGGAACGAAGTTGTAAACTGAGTGTACCAGCCTGCAATAGATTAATGTGTCCGTCCGTCCGTCCCCTTTCAATACTTGAACGAAGTGAAATCTCGTGCTGTTGGGTGTAATAAAATTGCGCAAAATTCCAATGTTCCTACCAGCCCACCCTGCAGGGACCTGTTTTTCAAAAATACATTTAACATTTCGCAAACTGTTACTTGTAAATTGTTAACCTCACACGTGTTCAGTATTCATGCGCAATGTGAGGGACTGTGCATCGTGTTGGTGTGGTCTGGGACTGTTTTTGTCGCCTTGCCTTAAGCTTGCATTTGTTGTTGGCAAATCGGCAGAAATGTACTTATACAATTTGTACTTCTGTACTTTATATTTATTTTCGCGATTTCCTTTCCTACACGTTGTACTCCTTTGTCGGTTGTTGATGTGACTCGCTGACCTCGTGACCCGACTAGACATCCGTGAAAGAGCTTCATAGCACATGAGATTCCCCCAGAAATAAATTAAAAGATTCCGATAGGTGCACACGTGGGGACTCTGGGTCATGCATGCGATGGCATCAGCAGGGGCTTATGAAAGTTCACGTGTGTGTGTGTGCACCTCCTGTGTAAGCTGTACAATGCGCCGTGGTTGGTTTACGTGGTGAAAAACGACTGCTTAGCAGGCGAACTTAAATAATCTCCGGCTTGGGTCACTGACCTGCGGTATTTACACACATTATTTGACCATGACGCTGTATTGGCAAAGCTCATCGGATTTCTCCAGCCTAAATAAAGATTTCGATTGAGAGGACCGCTGGCCTGGTGCCTCGCACCTCTCAGACGCCCTCCTAGGCAGTGAATACTGCAGTGGTGGTGGCGCACGTCACAAGTTGAAATTAACAACCATCGAATCAAGATTGAACAACGATTGTTACGCAAATTCATCAACTCGCCAAAGAAATGTACGGGCAAATGCACGCGTGTTTTCGCGAAGGCAAATGCGGTGTTAAACACGCGCTCAATGGCAAGGTCGCAGACAGGTTGCATGTATACATATTTATTGTCATAACTATTCATATATTTATTAATTCTCTATCTGTACACAAGAGGACATCCGTTAACGAACGGAGAAAAAAAATCTTTTAAGCAAAAAAAAGTTAAAATGGGTAAAACGTTGGGGGGGGGGGGGGTCTCGCTCTCGACAGCCAAGCTTAACGCGCGGAATTGTTCGATAAATTTAAACCGTAAACACGTGAAAGTGTGCGAGACAAAAAAACTGTCACTTAAACACATTCTCTCCTTTTTATCAAGCAGATTATATGAAAATAAACTTATCTTTACGATTTTTGTTTAAAGCAATATGTTTAGGATTTATTTAAGCATTTCACTGTCTAACGTCAGTATGTAATATGCACTTATTACCAACAACCAAGGGAAGGCTTAACTTTTAAAACTCCATGCACAAGCCAGTCCACGTGGATAAAACGTGTGGACCATTCCATTTTCACAAAAAGGATGGGCGACGGGAGTGGGTAACGGGTCAAGATGTACAGGTCAGTCCACTATTACAGACTAGGAAGAGGGGTGATGAGCGAGTCCCTTGGACTGTTCCGTTCACAGAGGGATGTCATCTTAAAAAGTTTGTTTTTGGGAGGTGAAGGGAGGAAGGGGGATTTCTAAGGGACGGGTTTTGTGTTTGTTTAAACACACGTTTGTGCCAAAGTGATCCCGAAGAATACCACGCTGGTGGGATTTTACAAAGTAAAAACGGCGACCGAACTGACGACCAATCGCAATCACGCTTGTGCATTGCGACTTTTGATGTTTGTTTGCTTTGAGAAGAACAAAAAATTATTAAACAAAAGCGAAAATATAGAAAGAAAAAAATACGATTTTTCTTAACCGATAACGTTTCCTAAAAACGACATTTCTTTTTGCATTTAAAAAAAAATATCGCAGAACAGAAATCCCATTTGGATAAAGCCATCTCGACCCCAGACATCGCGGCCCACGTATCAAGTCACAAATCCAGCTGACAAACAGGCGAACTTTCATTTTCTCTTCTAGAAGCAAGTCTCGATCAACAGTTGTGAGAATGAAGCACAGAGAGAACATTGTTAGTGCCCTGATAGGAGGCGATGCGGCCTGGAGCCCGAAGACCAAATCCACCATAGCCCATGGCTTTTGACAGCTTTTCCAAGGCCCTTCTCGTCAAAGCTGCTATGCTTGCTGCTGCAATAAGTTTCAATGAAGGCAGTTAACAATGAAATTCACCCCCTTAAAAATAATTTCGCCGTAGCATTTGCAGTGTATTACTTTAATACTGTAATGTTTGGCCAATTAAAATAATTATCAAAGAAAGCCTGGTTAAAAAAGTGTTTTGTTTTACAGGATTGGAGTTGTCTTTGGGATGTCTGGCCAATTCGCTTCGATGTTGTTTGCAAGCTTGGGTAAACTAGGGTGTCTGCAGTAAGTCCACGCATTCTCGAGGCTAAAAATCACGTGCCGCACTAAAGGCGAGATGTCCTTAATTACAGCTCAAGGTGGAAACAGGTCATTTCTTACCAAGGTCATTTTCTTACCGACCTTCCACAACCCAACATCCATGTCACTGAATTAGCAGCATACATTGTCACTGCACATCGTCAGTCTTTTCAATTACACTTTCGAAGGCAGGTTAACTTTCAAATTGGGGAATTGGGCCGCAAAAACACGCTTTGTGCTACTGTTGCAAACGATGGGTCTTAGCCATTGTCTATTATGTAGCGGACAACGCAGCCGTGTTAACTAATGATTGCAGAGATGACTGAGTGAAGAGGTGGTGGCGTTCACACACCGACTGCTAGAGACAACTCCCGATTGCCTGGAGGTGCCCCTTGAGTTACCGCTTTGAGGTCTGCAAAGCACTCCGCTCGCGTATGATTTAGCTCGCGTTGGGAGGATTTGATTTTCCTCGGGGTTTCTCTCGCATGAGTAGCCTTGTCGATGCAACAACAAAAATCTTCCCCTTTCACCGGCAAATAAGACACCACAAAGGCACGCGTTGGTATCAACTCACGGCACGACTTACTGTTGCGTAATACTGTATCGACTGCGGCATTTTGGTGGGGTATTTTGCTGGACGAGATTTATTTTGCTTGACGTGCAAAATGCTTCTGAAGTAATTCGAGAATACGTTTACCTTGTCAAATAAGAATTTCACGCGAACTCCAGTCGTCATCCTCACAGCGGCGGCTTTTGTCTGGCCATCGAACAAAGACGGTCGCTGCATCGCTCGGCGCTTTCAGATGCGCTCCTGTGGCCATCTGGAACGCTCTTGCTTCCGATATTAGGAAGGTACTGGAGCTACGCAGTTTTAAATCATCATTTAGAGTCCTTAGAACTGCTTTTTTGTGTTTAGTTTGTTGTCCTTCCCCCGCACCTCCGATTAGCGCGGTTGGCTACGGTACGGTGCAAAAAAAGTTCAAGATATGGGAGGTCAAACTTGACTATGCCGGCAGGATTTTATGGTTATGATCGAGCAGCTCACAGACATAACGTCAAGAGCGGGACACACGTGTAGCACGCGTGTCGATTGCAAAAAAAGCGTCGACGCTGGGGGCGACGGTGTGACCTGGAAGCCAGTTTAGGCAAGACCACAAGGTTGCTGTTTGAATGAAGCATCCCTTTGGATTGTGGGATTATCGTGTGTACAAATCGACACTACGACTTAACTTTAAGGGCGAAGACTCTCGTTTAGATTGTTTTTTGCAGTAATGCGACGTGAATATTAATACTTGGACAACCGCTACGGAGTGACTTAAAAATAATAATTGCAGCATTCATAGCAGCTCTTTACTTATCTATATAACATGAACAAAATGATGTAACTAATGCTGGCTCGCCAGATAGGCTGCTTGCAGTAATCTGTATAAATACAAAAGCAAAAAAACAATAACTGAAGTTACCAAGGCAACAACAGGCCAATCAGTGTGGCAGGTTTGGGTGTCATGGTAAAGAAATTATTTTTTTGTACGATTTTTATTTTTTTTGCTCAGGCAAAGAAGTGAGGGGGGGGGAACCCCACATGCTCTTTGCGATTCGAGGAGTAGCACAGATTGCCACCACGACCGTCGACACTGCTACCGCCGTCACCGTGCTGCGAACCGGTGAACATGAAACGTGGGGTGGGCTCCAACGCGGACAGGCCAATCGGAGGGCAATAAGTAAGGCAGGCTCAGTGAGGGCATGGAGCAACTTTTGATCAGCTCCTTGTGCAGACGGGATTCATGTCACGTGGGATAAGGAGTCCTCGGTTGGAGAGTGGGGGAGGGGGTCAGGTCGGGTGGAGAGGTCAAGATGGGAGAGGGTAAACATTTGGGTTGGTGCTTAAATGACCACGGCGGGGAAGGAGGGGGGTGGTTGGATGGACGGACGTGTGATCCTAGATGGGCTCCACGTAGTTGGCCGGGTACAGCCCCACCTTCCCGCTCTCCAGACGGCCCTTGCACCACCCCTGCTCATCTTCATCCTCCAGCTTGATGAACTCTTGACCTGCGGAAAGTTCACCAGTGAACAGGGCGACCGTGAAGACTGCTGCCTCCATCTCACCGCCGTTCAACCCCCGGTGAGGAAGGTGAGATGAGTGTGCTCTCACCGGTGAGGAGGTGAGGTGAGTGTGCTCTCACCGGTGAGGAATGTGAGGTGAGTGTGCACTGGCCGGTGAGGAAGGTGAGGTGAGTGTGCTCTCACCGGTGAGGAGGTGAGGTGAGTGTACTCTCACCGGTGAGGAAGGTGAGGTGAGTGTGCTCTCACCGGTGAGGAGGTGAGGTGAGTTTTCTCTCACCGGTGAGGAAGGTGAGGTGAGTTTGCTTTCACCGGTGAGGAAGGTGAGGTGAGTTTGCTCTCACCGGTGAGGAAGGTGAGGTGAGTGTGCTCTCACCGGTGAGGAAGGTGAGGTGAGTGTGCTCTCACCGGTGAGGAAGGTGAGGTGAGTGTGCTCTCACCGGTGAGGAAGGTGAGGTGAGTGTGCTCTCACCGGTGAGGAAGGTGAGTGTGCTCTCACCGGTGAGGAAGGTGAGGTGAGTGTGCTCTCACCGGTGAGGAAGGTGAGGTGAGTGTGCTCTCACCGGTGAGGAAGGTGAGCTCGTCCTGCTCCTGCCCGTCGTAGTCGTACAGCGCCCGCACACGCACGCCGGTGGCGGCCGGCGTGCCGTCCTCCTCGAAGGGGTTGCTGTGGCCGTTGGTGCCGCCCCCAAACGGGTTGGAGGCCTCCTCGTCCGACCACTCGCCCGCAAAGTTCTGGTTCTGTTCAAAACTGCGACGGTGGGGGGAAAAAAAAGTGAATTATTTTCTACTCTTGGCACGATAAAACTAAACTATTTTCATTTTACCAGGTAAGGACCACTGAGCTGTACAGCTCTTTTTAAGAAGCGACCTGGCCACCACAAATGATAGCTCAACAGCAGCCAAATACTCTGAACGCGTGATGTTGATTCTAAATGTGGAGGGAAAAACCGCATGAACCGGAGAAAAATCCACGCGACCACACAACAGCCGCCATTCACCACTCGGTGGCGGTGAAGTCTGTGCCAGGCCTGCCAAAGACAAAGATCCCCCGTATAGCCTTCACAGACTTTTGGGGCAAGTGCTGTTAGCGAGCACCTATGAAGGCCAACACCACGCCTGACCGCCTTTGTCTCCCCAGTATTGATGTTTACACACCGCACCAGGTACTCATTTTAGGCTGTGTCGACCTAGGGGAGGCCCGGGACCGGTTCTGATAATCGTCTCCGGTGTTGGCCGCGAGCGGGAATCGAACTCGGTTCGCCGGGTTTGTAGCGCAGCGTAGCGCCAACCGCTATGCCACCGCTCCCCACCAGGCCTGGCGTGCGCACACACACACACGCGCACACACACACACGCGCACACACACACACGCACACACACACACACACGCACACACACACACACGCACACACACACACGCACACACACACACACGCACACACACACACACGCGCACACACACACACGCGCACACACACACACGCACACACACACACACACGCACACACACACACACGCGCACACACACACACGCACACACACACACACACGCACACACACACACACACGCACACACACACACACGCGCACACACACACACGCACACACACACACACACGCACACACACACACACGCACACACACACACGCACACACACACACACGCACACACACACACACGCGCACACACACACACGCGCACACACACACACGCACACACACACACACGCGCACACACACACGCGCACACACACACACGCACACACACACACACGCACACACACACGCACGCACACACACGCACACACACACGCACACACACACGCACACACACACGCGCACACACACGCGCACAGACACACACGCGCACACACACGCGCACAGACACACACGCGCACACACACGCGCACACACACGCGCACACACACACACGCGCACACGCGCACACGCACACACGCGCACACACACACACGCGCACACACACACACGCGCACACACACACACGCGCACACACACACACGCGCACACACACACACGCGCGCACACACACACGCGCGCACACACACACACGCGCACACACACACACGCGCACACACACACACGCGCACACACACACACGCGCACACACACACACGCGCACACACACGCGCACACACACGCGCACCATCGAGCAGGCACGGACACGCACCTCTCTGTGTTGGCCCTCGCGGTTGTGTAGTCGCCGGCCTGCGTCATGTTGGTGAGCGTGACGCCGTCGGGTGCCTTGCGAGACTTCTCGCGCTTGCTGATGGTGCGGTTGGTGTCCGGCGAATACTCCTGCACACGCGAACGGCGCGCAAAGACAAAGATCCCCCACACGGCCTTCAACGGAATGCTGGGGCGAGTGCTGTAAGCAAGCACCTATTAAGGGTGAGGCAGGGCACAAGAGGGCGTGGGGTGGCCAGCATTACGCCCGCCCGCCCGCCACTGCTGATGTTTTACACACCTCGCCAGGTACTTGATTTAAGGTCGAGTCGACCTAGGGGAAGCCCAGAACCGGTTCAGATATCCATCACCAATGTTGGCCGGGTTCGTAGTGCAATGCGCTAACCACTGTGCCACCACTCCCCATACGTCTGTGTATATGTACACACCCGCATACAACACGATGCCTCCTCTGCTCCCATCCTGTTTACAGCCCTGCGCCATTCGTGCAAATTCCACATTTCTACGACAGGGGTGAGTCTTCCACAGAACAACCAGCCCGGAGGGATGAGGGGCCAAGTCAACACCCAACCGGGAATTAAACTCACAACATCCTGGGCAAGTTAACGTAGCGTTCAAAATTAACCCTTTCCCACCCCGTGTACGTCAACGGAACAGAACCGGAAGAAAAACTGAAATAAAATAATTTTATCCGTAGCAAGACTCCCACAAGGCCATGCGGGAGGCCGTGCGGCACAGTTTGGCGCTGGCTATCGTAGGGTGGCGGTCGTGTCGCTACAGTTCGCTGCGGTGAGTAACGACTTCTTTAAAAACAACTGCGCTACTATGCCTCTAAGTAAAATTAACGCTGAGCCACTCGCGTGCTCAGAGATTCAGCGGTGAACAGCCCCCCCCCCCTGCAACTTGGAGACGTCTCGCAACAGCAAAGGGTTCATATAAAATTCATAATAAGTTTAACACGTAGGCTTTCGCTATCCGGCTTCAAATTGTTGGTTGCCTTTGCTATTTCGTAAAAATCCAAAACTGAAAAGCGGCCAAGATTTTGACCCGATCCCAATTCACCTCCCTTCTTGCTGGCCACGCACCCAGCTGCTCTCAAAACCTGCCCCCCCCCTGCTCACGCTGCCACACCCCCACCCGACCCCCCCCCCCCCCCCACCTTGCCCTGACTACCCCGCACCTCGAAGGCTGGCCAGTTCATGGGCATCCCTGCGCCCATCGTGTTACGGAACCACTTGAGGTCCTCTTCCGGGTCGATGCTGGAGATGTCCTGCTGCAGCTCCCGATAGATGGCAGCAAACCTGCACGACGGCACGGGGGAGGAGACAGCGGAGGAGGAGGAGACAGGGGAGGAGGAGGAGACAGGGGAGGAGGAGACAGGGGAGGAGGAGACAGGGGAGGAGGAGACAGGGGAGGAGGAGGAGACAGGGGAGGAGGAGGAGACAGGGGAGGAGGAGGAGACAGGGGAGGAGGAGGAGACAGGGGAGGAGGAGGAGACAGGGGAGGAGGAGGAGACAGGGGAGGAGGAGGAGACAGGGGAGGAGGAGGAGACAGGGGAGGAGGAGGAGACAGGGGAGGAGGAGGAGACAGGGGAGGAGGAGGAGACAGGGGAGGAGGAGGAGACAGGGGAGGAGGAGGAGACAGGGGAGGAGGAGGAGACAGCGGAGGAGGAGGAGACAGGGGAGGAGGAGGAGACAGGGGAGGAGGAGGAGACAGGGGAGGAGGAGACAGGGGAGGAGGAGACAGGGGAGGAGGAGACAGGGGAGGAGGAGGAGACAGGGGAGGAGGAGACAGGGGAGGAGGAGGAGACAGGGGAGGAGGAGACAGGGGAGGAGGAGGAGACAGGGGAGGAGGAGGAGACAGGGGAGGAGGAGGAGACAGGGGAGGAGGAGGAGACAGGGGAGGAGGAGGAGACAGGGGAGGAGGAGACAGGGGAGGAGGAGGAGACAGGGGAGGAGACAGCGGAGGAGGAGGAGACAGGGGAGGAGGAGACAGGGGAGGAGGAGGAGACAGGGGAGGAGGAGGAGACAGGGGAGGAGACAGGGGAGGAGGAGGAGACAGGGGCGGCGCGGGCACTCGGTAAGCGCGGCTCCCTCGTCGACCATCCACTTCTTCGCCCGTTGAGGTGTTGCGGCCGTCTGGAACGCTCTTCCTGTCTGATGTTACGTAGCCACTGGGAACTATTGGCGCTTTTAAATAATCCAGAATGAATATGCATATCTTTAGAACCGCTTCTTGTGTTTTGTTTGTTGTCTTTCCCCCCCATACCTCCGATTAGAATGGTTGGATACATATGGTGCAAAACAAATTCAACATACATACATACTCCTCCCTGGGTTCATAGTGCCCGTCTATATGTCTCACCGTCTTCGTGGGTGTCTTCACAACTGTGCACGTCTTAGTCTCTGCGGATTTATCCCCAGCCCGTCTCAATATTTACACCTCCACAGTTCCCCGAACCTCACTCCATTATTCCCCCATCGGTTACCGACAGAGCAAAACCAAGTTGTGTGACGGCATCCAATTAGTACGTTGGGGCTGGGGCTCCATACGGCGCTGAAGAAGTTCAACACACACACACACATTCGTCTCGAGAACGCCAGCCGTACGCGATGTCAATTTTCCTAGCTCATCCGGAAACAGGTTTCTCACTTGTCGTTGTTGGACAGGTCGAGGTGAACTTTGACGCTTGAGAGCACGCTCTTGAAGAAAGAGAGGCGCTTTCCCTCGGCCTCCTGGCACTGGTCAAACACCAGCTCCATGTCCTCCATGTACTTGGGGTTGGCCAAATTCAGATCCACCAGGACCTTCTGGTAGCGGTCCTTGCTCTGCAGGGGAACAAGGTGGAAGGGAAGAGTAGTGCGTGCGTTCTTTGTGAGCGTGTTTGCACGCACACACACAGGTGCTCGATAACAGCACTTGCCCCAGCAGTCTGTTGAGGCTATACACGAGGGATCTTTGTCTTTGTGTGTGTGGAGATGATGGGGAGTGGTATCGCAACGGTTAGCATGCTGTGCTACAAACCCGCCGACCCGAGTTCGATTCCCCGCTCACGGCGAACACCAGTGACGATTATCTGAACCTGTCCTGGGAGAGTAAACCCACAATATGAGAATAGGTTTTCATACACTCTTTGGTTCTTTTGGTAAAGTCATGTAGGTAGAAAAAATAATAGATCACGATGTTTCGATTGCAACACAAGCAATCGTCATCAGGTGAGGCAACCACAGCAAGAAAACGCCAAAAGGCGCCAAAAGGCGTCCTCTGGACTAGCGCCGCTTGAGACGAGGCTCAAAAGAAAGCTGTCTCTGGTGTGGACCAATCAGTTTCAAAGACAATGCATATATTCATCTTCTTGGTTCTTTCGGTAAAGTCACGTAGAATGAAAATAAAATAATAAAAATAAAACATAATACAATAAAATTATCACGACGTTTCGGCCACAACACAAGTAGCCTTCTTCAGGTGAAGGAACAGAACTGTCGGGACGACAGCGCTTCAATGAACGCTGCTAAGATTCGCAGCGTCTTTTAAGCTAGGTGGGAGAAGTAAAGCGCCTTGACAAAGGAGTTTACATATTTCCATTCTACGTGACTTTACCGAAAGAACCAAGAAGATGAATCCCTGCAGTCACGAAAGCTTTAAATCGAAATTTAATGCATATATTATCAGAGTATGTTTTTGTTTGCATTCTGACCACAAGTATTGTGGTTAGTGCAGACATTCCTTGTAAAAGGTTTCAGTTTGGTGTTTTAACATCTTAACACCTCTTTCGTTGCCAGAAAAAAGAGGAAAAACCAATTCTCATATTATGGTACTGGCAAAGGAGGTCCCCATGATGAAACCCAGAATGTTTACAATTTGAGTACAATTGTAAACACTGTGGGTTTACTCTCCAACACACCGGTGTGCTGAAGTGGTAATTCATTGGCACGTTTTGCCTACGTGACAAACCTTACTGGTTGGCTGTGTCGGGCAATGGTGGGTTTAACGACACATTTTATATTTCCGCGATTGTACCCCTCCTTTTTTACCCATTCCCACGCTGTGTATCTGTACACCGCTGCGGTGGTGTACCTGTGTCAGTGCTTTGTACCGCTATCGGTGCTGTGTACCCATCCTTGTTTAACCATTTCTGTTTTGGGCGCCCTATAAGTGCTGTTGATTCATTTTCATGCCCTGTTCCCGTACACAATCCCTTAAACTAAAAACTATTTTTTTTCAACCAGGTAAGGCCCACTTGAGTTACGTAGCTCTCTTTCAGAAGCGCCCCTGGCTCATCACAAATGATAGCTCAACCAAGTGGCTTATCGTGAGGAATTGTATAACAGTCAAATACTCTAAGTGCACATTCATTCTAAATATGGAGGGAAAAACCAGAGGACCCCAATAAAAATCCACGCGACCACGGGGAGCGAGAGACACGCAAACGCCATATACAGACATCGTCGGAGTCGGCATCGAACCCACGACCTCCTGTATATCAGGCGAGGTAGTTAACATGTCGCCACCGTGGCGCCCTGCCCAGAGAGAATCCCATTTATAGCAGTCAAATACTCGAATAATGTCTTACCCTTGTGCACGCTCACTCGCGACGACGACATGACTCTCTACCCAGAGCACACCACCCTAACCCACCTTCTGCACTTCAGCCTTGCAGCGTTCCACTTTCTCGGCCAGCTTGCGCTGCACATCGGGTGGCTGCGCCGGGTCAGTCTTGGACTGGTTGTCGCGGCTCTCTGCCAGCTTCTCCTCCTTGCAGGCCGCTTGGTACAACTTCTTATTGGCGTCCACCTGCAACGGGCACAGCGCAACCCGTTCGAGGAGCCGAACGTACGACGTAGCACGCCTCTCGCGCCGTACGTAGCCAACCGCGCTAATCGGAGGCGCGGGGGCAACGACAAGAAACTAACACGCAACAAAAAAGTGGCCCTAAAGAAATGAGTTATCAATCTAGATGATGGTTTAAAAGTGCATAGCTCCAGCCGGCTTCCGAATATTGGATAGAGGAGCACGTTCCAGAGAGCCGCACAAGCGGAGGCCGTCTCTCTCCGGCCCCGTGCGTGGTGTCATTGCAAACATAACGATTTGTAAGCATGACAGAGAAATAATATTTGTATTATTTTTTTCTCTCTCTAGGATATCCTCACCGAGCCACAAAGGCGATCGAGCGAGAATTATACCTCGGATTATTCGGTTAATTCCCCCTCTTCGAAATCTTTTTTTTCGTGGAATAGTAAGAATAGTAAGAGTGAAATTTAAAAAAATCTAAATCGCGCACTCTAAGAAATACGAGACCACAGCATGGCGGCGGCCGGCACCGTCGTGATCCCGTGCAGCCAGCTAAGCCCCACACACCTCCTTGAGTTTCTTGGCCCACGGCTTCTGCGCCTTGCGGAAGTTGTCCTCGGCCTCCTTAGTCTCCTTGAAGCCGCCGATCATCTGCTTGTGGAAGGCGTCCTTCTGCCAGCCCTTGATCGTCTCGATGTCCTTGCTCATGAGCTGCGTGCGCATGTCCACGTGCAGCGTGCTCACGTTGTCCGCCTCGTTCATCAGCCCCTTCCACGCGGTCGCCACGGAGCCGTACTGCGGGCCTGCAGGGGGGGGGACGCAGGCACGCGAGCCACGTCAGCCGCGTCGTCCACAGCGGCGGTGCCGTCACCGCGAACACCGGCAGCGTCACCACGAGATCCGGCAGGTCCAGGCGGGGGACATTTCGCAGGTCACATAATCCGTGCTACCCTGGGCTAAAAAAAAACCCTGATATGCGTTAAAAAAAAAATCACAGAACTTTGCGAATTTCAAGAATTTTTAGCCAAGCGAGTCCTTACATTCGGGGATTTTACGAGTCGTGCCGTCACGGGCAACAATACGCACAATTACGAACCTGTACGGTACGTGCCGTGCTCGTCCGCACGTCGCAAGCAATATTAAAATATCCGCGAACGAGACGGCGCGAGGATATTTTGGAGGTTCGCCGTGGCGCGGTGCGCACCAGTCGGTGGCTGTTAGTTACCCCGGAGAAAAGAGCGAGTATAATAGCGCCTCGCAGCTGTCTCCCCCTCCTCTGTTCCGACCATGGACGAACTCGTCCGTCTGAACGGGGCCCGTAGCTATCCGTGGTGCTAAAGTTGAGGGTAAGAATCCACCCATTTTTTCGCCATATAGCATTGTGATATATAACGACTTATTGTTGGTAGCTTAGCTGATTGGAGAATAGAGTTTATTGATAACATTAAGGTAATTTATATTTTAGTTTTTTATTGGTTCACTATATAGTACTGTGAATAGCTCAGATGTGTAGGCCTTGACTTCAACATAGTTATTTCTGTGACCAGTCACTAGCTAATCACTCAGTTGTTTCAATGCTAAATTCGCCTAGTTATTTCAATGCTAAATTCTCCTGTTTGATTTGTACTAAGTGCCTCGGTGAATGTGTATGCTCTGACTTTAACGTAGCTATTTCTGTGAGCAGTTACAAGCTAATCACTCAGCTATTTCAATGCTAAATTCTATGCTAATTCCATTGTCAAGGGGTGCCTCTGCGGATGTGTATGCTTTAACTTAGCTATTTCAATGCTAAATTCTATGCTAATTCCTTTATCAAGGGGTGCCTCTGCGGATGTGTATGCTTTAACTTTTAACATAGCTATTTCTGTGACCAGTCACAAGCTAATCATTCAGCCATTTCAATGCTAAATTATATGCTAATTCCTTTGTCAAGGCGCTTTGTTCCTCTCACACAGCTTAAAGGCCGTGATCTGAACGTGGCTCTTTCACTCCAGCGCTGTCCTACCAGACAGTCTCGCCCCTTCACCTGATGAAGGCCGCTTGTGTTGTGGCCGAAACGTCGTGAGAATTTTATTGTGTTATTTTATTTTATCAATTTATTATTTTATTCTCATTCTACGTGACTTTACCGAAAGAACCAAAGAAGATTCCCAAATATTTGTCATCGTTGTTGTAAATATCGGCAGCCGACGAGCATCGCCGTCTCGCCGGGGTGGGGGGAGCCGCCCGCCCGCCCGCCCGCCCGCGCCCACCTTTCTCGATGAGCTGCCGCCACTTCTTGGTCCACTCGGTGAGCTGCGTGGCGTAGGCCTTCTCGATGCGCGCGCGCTCGTGCAGGCAGGCCATGAGGTCGTTGCACAGGCGGTAGCCATCGTCGATCCTCTTCACCGTGCGCTTGTAGTTGCCCACCTGCGTGCGGGGGCACGGGCACACAAGCGGGGGGTGGGGGGGGGGGGCGTCACGCGAGACCCAAACCCGCGATTCCGCACGCTCTGCCAACTGCGCTTCTGCGGCCGTCTGGAACGCTCTTAGGAGGCCACTGGAGCTACAAACTCAGAAGAGGTGGAGAACGTGCAAACTCCAAACGGAGAGGCACCCGAGTAGGGAATCGAACACGGGAACTTTTCTGTCGCGAGCCGCGAGCGTGACCGCTGCGCCGCCCCGCCGACCAATGGAGGCGTCAACTGCCCACCACGACGGCGGTCGACGCTGTTCCACAGTCGCTCCAAATCTGCTGCGGACCCACGAAGGCTGAGAACACGTGATCTCTATGCACGCAGGTTTTGTTCGTTGGACTTCTTTCACACCGTACGTACACAACCGTGTTAATCGGAGGGGGAGGACAACAAGCTAAGCGCGGCTGCGCGGTGGTCTACACTCCCTCCCACCGAGCGCTGTGTCACACAATCCACACGGTGGTTTGGAGTGGCTGTTATCTGCATTCCTACTGCGGTCCAGAATGGACGAGACACCTTGCATGTGGTGGGTCCTGCAGGCGAGTGTCACATTGCCACTGCGGTCCAGAATGGACGAGACACCTCGAGGAGTGGCGTGGGAGGGACCGCGCCTGCCTCCGGGGCGTCTCCCGGCTCGTGGAGGAGAGGGGGGACACTCACCTCCCAGAAGCTGTCGCTGCCGGCCTCGCCGATGGGCTCATCGTACAGCGACATCCTGCTCGTGTCAACGCCTGCTCCCCAGCACACCAGGCCACTGCACACGACCACCACAACAACAATAGCAACAACAAGTTACACTCAACCGCCCTTCCATCAAACCGCCCCCCCCCCCACCACAAAGTCCACCACTCGGCAGGCCAACGTCTCCGAAACCAAGCGTCGTGTTCGTGTCGAGGCCTGCTTGCCGGCACTCCAGGCCAAAGATCCCCAGTGTAGCCTTAACAGGCTGTTAAGGCTACACTTAATAGGTGCTGTTAGCGAACAGCACCTATGAAGGCCGGCACGGCACACGAGGGGGCGGGTGGCCAGCACCACGGCCAGCCGCCTTTGTCACCCCAGTGGTGATGTTTACTACACACCGCAGCACCAGGTACTCATTTGAGGCTGAATCAACCTAGGGGAGGCCCAAGATCGGTTCAGATCATCGTCACTGGTGTTGGCCGTGAAGCAGGAATGGAACTCGGGTCGCTGCGTTCGTAGCGCAGCGAAGTGCTAACCGCTGCACCACCGCTCCCCCACCACCTGGCAAGCCAACGCCTCCAAAAGCCGGAACACGCCGGAACATCGCTTGTTGCTGCAATGAGCACGCGCGCAGCCCGAGCATCGCCAGCACAGCCTCGGCCTGCACACCGCGTGGAGGGCGCGGCTCCATCGCCCGGCGCCGTCTCGTGGGGACCGCTATGCCCCGGGGGGGGGGAGGGCTTGCAGCTCGTGACGACGACGACATTGTACGTGTGTGCATGTTGAACTTCTTTCGCAATGTACGTAGCTGCCCGGCCAGTTCGTCACGACTACGACTGCTATTTTTATTTAACAAGGGAAGGGCCACGGAGCTGTTTAGCTCTTTGTCAGAAGCGACCTGGCCATCACAAATGATAGCTCAACGAAGTTGCTCATCATCACGTGGAAATTTATAGCAGCCAAATACCCTTGAACGCACACTGATTCTAAATGTTGGAGGGGAAAAACCCGGAGGATCCGGATAAATATCCACGCAACCACATTACGAACACACAAACTCCAAATATACAACAGGTGTCAGGGGTCGGGATCGAACCCACCACCTCCTGTATACCAGGCGGGGGAGTTAACATCTCATAGCCACCGTGGCGCCCCGCCAAGACCGCGGCGGCTCCTCCTTCATCGAGCCCCAATGCCGTAGTTTCTTTACCCAAACTCTACACGCATCAAAAAGAAGGAAAAAAACACCACGTGGATTGCATGAGCGCGCATTCATAAAACGCGTCGAACAATGGGTAAGAGTGCACCTGGCCGAGTGATCTCCCCAGCTAATACGCACGCACACGCAACATTTCACGAATGAAATGCTTAATCCCAAAGTGACGACCTCCTGATTCAAAAAGGCAGTGGTAGAATTACGTACGTATCCAACGTACGTATGTTGGACTTTAATCACACCGCACGTAGCCAGCCGGAGGATCCGGTAAAGCGACGCTCTCTCGTGCCAATGGTCACCGAGTCAGCGGTGTCCAACGAACCGGGCGCCGCGGCGGTCCATTCTGGTGGATCTCGACGGGCTCCGCGATCCACCACCAGAAAAACAAACGAGTAACAATTTACCCGGATTAATGTACGGTAACCGTGATATCGCTATGGACGTAATGTACGAGCGTCATATACGGTGGTTGTTCTGTTTTTTGCAAGAACGAATTCTCAGTTGGGGATTTTTTTTTTATTTGCCGTCGGACGTTGCGAGAATTTGCCGCGCGCAGACGTGAGCGCAGATTTCTCCTGGCACGCAACGACAAAATCTTCCGCGGGCCCACGTACATCGGCCACCGCTGGTGTGACGCTTTGTACAGCGCAGACTTAAGCGTGAAGGGAGCGCTGTTGGCTACGTGCTGTGCGGAAGAAGTTCAACATGCGTACATGCGTACAAGGTAGTGGCACCCAGCATGCATTGCAAAGAAAGAAAGAAAGATTTGATTTTTTTCTTCTCATATTTACAAAAAAAGTATTGCAGAGAAATCTCTCAACGCAGCCCATGTGTCCCTCGCAGGCTGCAGGCCTAGCAAGCTGCACGATGGAGTTTAAGAACTGTATGTATTATTATTGTCTGTGAAAGGCGCCCAACTAGATCAGGGGTGCCACGGAGGCGAGATGTTAACTACCTCGCCTGGTATTCAGGAGTAGGTAGGTTTGATCCCGATCCCTGACATCTATATATTCGGAGTTTGCATGTTCTCCCCGTGGTTCGTGGATTTTGCTCCGGGTCCTCTGATTTTTCCCTCCACGTTCAGAATCAACGTGCGTTTGGAGTATTTCGCTGCTACAAATTTCCAAGCGATAAGCAACTTTGGTCGAGCTATCCACTTGCGATAGCAAGGTCACTTCTGAAAAACAGCTACATAGCAGATGATGACGAGTTCAAACAACGATAACAAAATATATGGTTACAGTAGTAAAACTACATAAAACTCCCCCCCCCCGCCCCGTAACGTCGCAGAACGGTTTCAACAACAACGCTGACCCTTCCCTTTCGACGTTTTGAGTAACCGGACATCGGAGCAAACCAAACGACCACTGCTCCCCGCCAACTCCTCCCCCCCGGTGTGGCAATCTGGGCCACTCGGCTCACCGGAAAGTGCGAGTCGTGAGCGAGTGACTAATTCCGCACGAGAGTACGACTTATTACGGCGGGTATACAAACATCTTGAGCTTTTCATACAAATTCTTCGCTTGTGCGCGCGCGTCCACGCGCAGACCATTTTTGTAATTAAAAACGGATCAGAATCACAGCCATCCACCATTAAAATAATAAAGTAGCTTCACAGGCATGAGCGCTGGAAGGTTTCCCCGTCTCAATGACTGCGCTCAGAAGACCCCACATCGTGTAAGGTCTCTCTAAAAAAATGTTCTTCACACTTCTCCTTCTTCTCCCGTGTGGCTGCTGATGTAGACGCAGAGCAACAACAACAATTTCACATCCAGGTGGTCAGACCCAGATTGCCGCGTCCGGAGCAGCAGCGGTGTGACATCGCTGCGACGTCTCCTTCCTATCCTTCGTGGATCGGGGCGGTGCGTCATTATACTACTGCAGAGTTTACATTTTACATTTGTGCACCATCAGGATATCCGCATCTACTGCCATGGTTTGTTGCAGTGGATGCGGTTTAGGGTGGACCACGGGCAGGCTCGTGGAAGATCAAACCCAGGGATCTTCTGCGTTGGGTCTCTCTCACCGAATGCACTGCATTCTTGACCGCAGTCATGAATAAAATCCACTGTTCTGCGTCAGCGGTGTGTTGCGTTGGCTAAAAAAAAAACCACTTCACCCACCACCCCGCGAGAAACGGCAGATGGAAAGCGTTGATGAAGTTCACGATTTAGCGTCACGAAACGTTACGATTAAAAAACAGACAAACAAGCGAGCATGCGTAAACACATTCTTGGAAAAGGATAAAGTTTTTAAAGTAAAAGTGTGCCACGCGGCCACCCTTCAAAACGACACTTGGCATGCTGTGGTCAACTCCCCCCCCCTCCTCCACCACTTCAGAAATCAGAATACCGGGAGACATTACCTCGGTGGGCAGCTATGACTTGACCCGAAACGTCACATTTACACGAACCGGCTATGCAGCACGCGTGTGTGCGTACGTGCGGGTTAATGCAGGTGGTGCATCGGCCAGTCATCTCAGTCAAGTCAACCCATGGCACCTGGGTCTGTCCCGTGACCTCCTGCCGGCGGGCGTTCCGACACTTCACGTGGTCTTAAAGTACACTTAGCCTGACACAAGCGCCGTGGTGACGTCACCGCCACTTAGTGGCGAATGGCGGTGGTTGTTGGTTAATGCAGGGATTAGCTAGCGTACTGCGCTACGAACCCGGATACCGGAGTTCGATTCCCATTCATGACCAATAACAAATGAGTACCTGGTGCGGTGTGTAAACATCGCTACCGGGGAGTGGTGTTGGCCACCCACCCCCTCGCGTGCCACAGTGCTGGCCTTCATAGGCGCTGCTCGCTCACAGCACTTGCCCTAACGATCTATGAAAGGCTTCACCGGGGATCCCTTTGTCTTTGCGCCGGCCACAATGAGCTTCCCAGGAGCGTGCACGTGCGCCCACAGCGGGCGCGAGCACGGCATTCTCCCTCGGGTACGGCCCTCTTGGCGGCATGCAACGCTGCCAACGGCCGATGACATTTGGAGATCCGAATTAATTTGGCCCGCAGTAAAAAGGAGCCTTCAAATAAATTCGGTCGCAACTGGGGAAATGGGCAACAGCGGCAGAGCTCCCCCCGAGGAAACAAACATTTAATCAAACAAATAAGCAAACAAAATAAACAAACGCACAGACCACGCAGACAGAGCGCGCCACACATTCACGAAAACTCTGCGCGCTCGCACGCGTCACCACACTCACGCATCAATCCGATTCATTTTAATGTTTTTAATTGCGCGATTAGTAATGCGGGTTGACGTCAACCCCCCCCAACAAGTCGAGCGATTCACTTTTTTTCGGAGAGGTTTTCAAAAGGATGCGTGAGGGCAGGGTGGCGCTTTGCCTCCACGTGGCTTACCACCCCCCCTCCACTCCCACCACCGCCACCACCTTTATTTTGGCAATTCGAAAACATATGGTTAATCTAAATTGTTTTATGGTTGTTGTTGTTGTCTTGCACCACATTGATTTTTGCATACAGCGTTAGTAAGTTTTTTTTGCGTGGAATATTTGCTGGTTTATTCCAGGATGTTTCTGTTACGCGTTGTCGCTTTAAGATGTTCTGTGTTCAAATTTTGTTTGTTACGGTTGCACCCGACTTAAGAGCCGCATGGCTCACAGGGCTATACCTCATAAATAAAACTTGAAACCACCGCACACCACCACCACCTGCTCCCACTCCCACCACTGCTGCCACCACCACCACCCGCTCCCACTCTCACCAACACCACCCTCCACTCCCACCACCGCCAACACCACCACCACCTCCGTTCACCGGTGAAACGTGGTACGGCCAGGTATCTAATTGGCAAGCACAGCAGGTTAGGAGGACCTCCAGAGGGGAAATGT